CTTTTCCGACATATCTCGAATATTCAGCATATGCCCTGAGAAGGATTTTACATACTCCCTGAGAGAGCTCGTGTGTTTCAGGTCTCGAAGTGCCCGTCGAGCCTGATACTCGACATTTTCCGGGAAAAACTGCGATCTGATCGCTTCCTTGAGGAGATCCCAAGAATCAATTCGAATCTTGTGGGCCTGAATGTCAGCATATTTGGTTCGCCACAATAATTTTGCATCTCCACCCAGATACATGGTAGCTGTGGTTACCTTTCTAGCTTTGTCTTCGATCGAAGCTGCTAGAAAGTACTGTTCCATATCAAACAAGAAGCTTTCGACTTCTTTTGCATCACGTGCCCCTCCGTAGGTATATGGTTCAGGAATTCTAAACCTAGGAGCATACTCGGGTACGGGAGCTTGCCCATTGCCCACCGCACGTTGGAGTACCCGCAATTGAGCTCTCAATGCTTCCATTTCATCCTGCAGATCAGGAATGATTGCAGCAGCTTCAGCCATTGCTGCGGAAGCTCTTTGGCTTTCATCCAATTGGATATGTAATCCACGAATCTCAGATTCGGCCATCTCGACTTTTTCCTCAAAACCTTCCATAGCATAGCACAACCTAGTAGTTGTCTCATCAAGCGCATCCACATGCTGTTTCATAGTACCCTTCTTTTGAGGCTCTACCACTTCAGTGGTGTTGGATGTAATTGGATCCATAGCTTTCTTATCGAGGATCGTGAGCCACAGCTCTGATACCAACTTTCACGGGGTGCCTTTCTTCTTGGAACAGAAAGGGACACCGTGCGGCAGTAGTCTGCTCCGCTAGACTACTTTCCGCCTTTTCTCGGTCGCGTCGGGACGAAAGAAAATTTGATTGTAATTTTGTAGAAAGCTTACAATAAAGAATTTGAATACATTGAAAGTAAATTAAACATTGATTGATGAAAACTGAACATTACAATTGATGAAAGTAGAAAATTACAAATGCTAGTGTAGGGGGCGGACACTAGTGAGCTTGAAAGATTTTTAAATGACTAATACCCCCTATAATAGCATTCTGAACAAAAACCCAAGTGACGGGAGTAGACGTTTAAAAGACGAGGAATCATACTAGACTTTTACCAATATCAGAGCTATTTTACAACTGAAATAACTATTACAATGAAAAGAAAATTACAACTCAAACTTGAAGTAATATTTACAATGTGCGGTCGAAGTTGGGCAAACTGCGACTGCGATAGTGTTAAGGGGCTAAGTAAAGTTGCGGTCCTTGACACTGAGTTTTGTTGTTATTTTGAATCAGTCCCTCGATTTCCTGTCCATTACGAATCAGCAATGGGAGTTTCTAGTTGCTGCAAATCGGTCCCTGGGATCTATGTTTGGTTTGATTTAGTCCCTGAATTTTCTGTTTGATAAAAACTAGCCTCTGAATTTTCTTTTTGCTGCAAATCAACCCCTGGGACGTGTACCTTCTGCTGCCCAATAATTAAACTCCTAAGCTCGTGGGAACAGGGTGAGTAACAAGGCTGGAACCATTCCATAAAATCATGGCCCAACGTGGCACTCCCTTCGTAGCTCCATTTTAACTGTGAAATTTGCCCATTTAGTCATAGTGAAGAATGCCCCCATCAATCAAACCCAAGTTATTGGCAGTTGGTGGAGCCAGGACGACGTCGCTACAGCAATCGACTATGCCAACACAGTCGGTGACTAAAATAGTGCTAGACGGATAGGGCCGACGTCTTCACCCCATCAATCAGACCCAAGTTACTGGTAGTTGGTGGAAGCCAGGGCAACGTCGCTACAGCAATCAGCTATGCCACTACAGTCGGTGACTAAAATAGTGCTAGACGGATAGGGTCACGTTGGCCCTGTCCGTCCAAGGGGCTAATGTTGTGCCCAGGCACCCTGACTATAGGGGGCGCTACATCGCCCTATTCGAACAGTTTTATTCCAGCAAATGTTTTCCTTTTTAACGTTGAATCAATCTTCAAAGTTGACATTTAGCACGAGTCATGTTACTTTTCTTTACCTATGCATTTCTCGGTCAAAACTATTTCAAAATTTGGAATTTTTACCTCACACGACTTCTAAGTGATAAAAGAAAGAAAAACCTTCAAAGTTGGAAACCTCAAACCTAAGTGGTCGGTCCATCCGTTGGACACAATGATTAAATTGAAACAGTTTATCACTTTGAGATTGGACTAACTAATTACTTAATTAACAAACCATCACTCATTGATGGATGTGTTACTTTTGAACTAATTACATATTAGAGTGTGCTTTAAGTCACATACATGCTTTCAAATATTCTAACTACCATTAATATTCATTAAATCATCAAAACAAGGTTCCACATTCTACTTGTTCGTTTTTCAACCTTTGAAATGTGACGATTAAGGAGTGATTAATAAATAAATTCAAGTCAATGGAATTGATTTTTATACTAAACCTTTAATTAAGTTATAAATGTTTATAATTAGAGGTGATACTGAGTGATTTCGATGGGTAAGATCTATTTTATGTAGATACAAGGTCATAAATCTTATGTTGACTAATATAGTGTTCAATTTGACCTTTTATCATTGTTGTGTAGCTAATTATTTAAATCTTCCAGCAAAACTAGTAATGAATTGAAAAAAAGGAAAAATAACACCTAGCAGACACAAATTTATTGGAAAGTGACGCTTTTGTAAATTTTATTGTTTAATCGAGTTGTATAATAGATTGGTCGAATTGGAGATGATTGTAGAACACGAAAAAGGAAATTCTTCATTTGCTACGGTGGAGGTGAGGTGAATTCGTCATACATATAATGGGTACAGGGATAGGATTGGCTTGGATAGAGTCCAAGCTCTCAAGCCAGTGTTGTGAAATATTTAAGGGTGTTTGTGGTTTGTATTTCAATTTTGAGTTTTGAATTCATTTTCAATTTTTTATTTTGAGGGTCTTTTTAATATGTTTAAAAATGCATTTATTTTGTTATTTTGAAATTTTATTTCTCAAAACAAAAAATTAGAAAATACGTTTGGTCTGAAAATTCTGAAAACTTATTTTATGATATTTTATTATATGAAATTTGATTATTCACCTTATATTTTTTAGATCTTTTATTTTTTTTTGAGAATTTTTATTTTAATGTTCTAAATTGTATTTGCTAGAAATTTATATCTTTATTTTTTTAAAATTTTTAACTTTTAAAATTTTATCTAAAAAAAAATTTATTTTGACATTACCTAAACTTTAGATAAGATCACACATGTTTTTCGTATAAATTTTATGATCAAAATGTCACATAAAATACACAAGTGATCTAACTTTTTCATTAAAACCTTACATGTGCTCAATTTTTTAATAAATAATCAGTGACGATGGTTGAATTCAATATCTTTTTTGCTATGTTATCATGTTGATTTACTTAGGGTGTGTTTGTCACTCATTATTTGAGAAGAATGTATTATGGAATAGTAATTGATGTAGAAATGCGTGGTTAAAAAAAAGGAATTTTTTTGATTTATGTGTAATGTTATTTTAATGAAGAATGTGTGGTTGAAAATGAGTACTGTAGAAAAAATAATGGGAAAGAATGAAAGAAAATGGATGACAAACAGGGGCTTAATATAAAAATTTGAACCATTAGATAAAACTATTTATATATCATGTAAAAATTAAAATTTTGTCTTCAATATGTCATTATTTTTAACCGTTTATCATAAACTCGAAAAATAAAGAATTGTTTTTCAAATACCAAAAATTGACGATGGCACTTAGGAGTAAAGATAGGAATATTCATACATAAATGCGTTAAAAGCAAGGGTGATTGAGATAGAATGCGACGGTGCATCCTATAATCCGACTAAAAAAACAAAGAAAAAGGGCTAGCTGGGTCATTCCTTGCAAATGTTACAAGGCAAATTGCCCTCTTTTTCAAGCCACAACACTTTCCTCTAAATTCTCCTACACAAATTTGGTACATGCTCTTAATCTGAGGGAATATAGATCACTCCTCCTTTCCTCATATTCTAAAATTGCATTTGAGGTAACCATTGTCATATTCCCACGCGTGTTTATATCAGTACACATTACATGTCGTTTATTCTTTTTATTCACAATCTAACATTTTATTTACGTTTCTATATTTTCATGTTCGTAGATTAAATACAGACGGAGTAAAAGAAATTTGACACTCGCCTTGAAAGGTTGGTTGGTGTAGGGTTATACTTTATCCTCTATGTTGATATTTTTGGTTGAGAAAGAAAGATGTTGTTACTTAAATTAGCAAGTGTGCATACAATGAATAATAGAGGGGAAAGAATTTTAACCCCACTCTGTTACGAGTTCATGGAATCAAAGTTGCTATTTATGTTATTATTCTAGACTCAAATTTGTAACTCACATAGTCAAAAGTTTTTACACAATTTACTATAGATCTCGTTAAAGTTACTTATAATCAATTGTATAGAACTTCATAAATGTGTGAATTGCTTATATAATTAAGAATTAAGGATTTTATAAACATAAATTGGAGTGACAACTGAAATATTCATCAATCGAATCATGTTTGACGTCCAAGATTGGGCAAACAAAAATGAAAAATTTAAGAGGATTTCTTTACATGTGGGGACTCAAAAATGGAGTTTAGGGAGTTGAGATAGTCCCATCAATCCCCACAAAATACCTATTAAAATACTTCATCACCACCAAAAAAAGAAAAAAAAAATACAAAAATACAACCTATTTATAATTGTTCTTTAGTTCTTGTTTGAATCTCATTCTTTTCCAAAAAATACATTCTTAAAAAGTATTTTGACATAATTTCAATCACAAATTTTTCAATAAAATAATATTACACGTAAATTCAAAATTTTTACTTATTTTTTAATCACACATTTTTCATTAATACACTATTTAAAAATTCATTTTCTTCCCAAAAATAAGACTCAACCGCCTTAATCTACTTAAATAAGCGAAAACATATTATCAATTAATTAAATTTAAATTTTCTTGATTATGGTTAGCGTAACGTCTCTTCAATGTCCAACTAAACCCCCAAATTCACCCCCGTCCCTAAACGAATGCACCTAAAACTCTGTGACCCCTTCTCCCTAATTCTCAATCTCTCTCGCATTCGCAAATTTTCCTGGGCTTTTTCTCTTTGAGTTAGCAGCATTGTCATTTTTTAAGAAATCTTGGAAGAATGTGGAATCTTTCAATGACCCATTATGGTTTCTTGAGCTACAGCGGGATTTCTTGATGTTTTTTGCTGATTAATGGTGATATCAAAAGGACTTCTGGGGGAATTTGTGAGCGGTGAATTCTCACTGTAACTCTGTGTGTATATGTGTTCTTGGCCTTGATGATGGTGGTTGCTGCTTCTGGAGCAGCTTCGACGACTGACCCACAGAACCGCAAAACCAGCGCCTCTCAAGATGAGCATTCAAGAAGGCCCCCATTATTGGCTTCTGAAAAAGATAATAGTAATGGGGTTTCAGGCAATACATCCAAAAGGCCCAAATCGAGAATTGTCTCTTCAAGATACATGTCCCCTACAACCTCAAATGCTTCTTCAGTTTCCTCATCTTCCGTCTCTTCTAGAAGGTACCCGTCTCCTTTGGTTTCGAGAAACTCGACCCCGGTTTTGAATACGCCTTCGTCGGGCCCAAAGAGGTCTGTCTCTGTGGACCGCCCGCGGTCCGTGTCTGCAAGGCCTTTAGCACTTGATCTTGATTCCAAGCATAGCAATTGCAGTAATGAGGTTTCAGCTGCCACAAAGCTTTTGGTCACTTCTACTCGAAGATTATCTGTTTCCTTTCAAGGTGAAGCGTTTTCGCTTCCCGTTAGTAAGACTAAGGTGGCCCCACCTTCGTCTAATTCGAGTAGTTTGAGGAAGGGCACTCCTGAGAGGAGGAGGAGCAGTACACCATCGAGAGGGAAGGGCGATGGAGGAGGAGATCAAGAAGAGAATACTAAGCCGGCCGATCAGCATCGATGGCCAGCGCGGAACCGGCGAGTTAATCCATTGTCAAGGAGTTTGGATTGTAGTGGTAGTGGTGATGAGAAGAGTAAGCTCGCCGGATCTGGAAATGTGATTCGAGCATTGCAACAGTCAAAGATTGATGAAAGTAGGGAATCCTTGGATGGTAGGTTAAGTCTTGATTTGGGCTGTTCCCAGCTTCTTAAGGCCGCGCCGGATGGAAATTTGGTAAATAACGAGTCTTCTGTGCAATCTGATCTCACCGCATCTGATACGGATAGTGTCTCTTCTGGTAGTACTTCAGGAGCTCAAGAATGTGGTGGGACCTCCCATGGCCGTAATGGGCCTCGGGGAATTGTTGTTTCGGCTAGATTTTGGCAAGAAACAAATAGCCGATTGAGGAGGTTGCAGGATCCAGGTTCACTCTTATCGACAAGTCCTGGGTCCAAGCTGATTGTGCCGTCAAAATTGAAAAAGTTCCAGAATGATGGTCCGCTGACTTCCCCGCGAATGATGTCTTCTCCTATTCGTGGAGGTAACAGAGCTGCATCTCCCAGCAAACTTTATACACCTGTCGGATCATCTCCATCTCGGGGAATCAGTCCATCTCGGGTCAGAAATGCTGTTAGTACAATTAGCAATAATTTTAGTGAGGCACCCTCAGTTCTTAGTTTTTCCGTTGATGTTAGGAGGGGGAAGGTTGGAGAGAACCGCATTTTTGATGCACACTTGTTGAGGCTTCTGTATAATCGACAACTGCAGTGGCGCTTTGTAAATGCTAGAACTGAAGCTGTCCTGCTGGTGCAGAAACACAATGCAGAGGTGAGATGCTTTATAGTACCTGTGGTTTTGAGTATACTTTCAATTTAGCTAGTAACAGTCTATGCATGCTTCTTTCTTGACAATGATAGTACCAACATTTTTGTGTAACAAATGCTATGCTCTTAACACTTGATAAGTATGGTGAAACCAAGTGGGATAAATGAATTGTTACGATTACATAAGAATATAGCTACCATTCTCTTTATTATGTACTGTGAGATGACAATACAAATGTGCAAACCTGTAACTAAGTTTTGTGCCAGTTTGTTACATTTGTTATTGTGGTGAAACATTTGGATTCTGATTGCGACAGCCATGTGAATTATTGCCTTGTTTTTGTTGAAATCTTTAACTGTGCTACACTTGCTTTTGATAGATGCAACTGGTCATAATATAATTTCACTACTTTTCTCTTGCATCATGTGATCTTCGAATATATGGAACCAGTTGGACACCGCTAATATTTAAGTTATGGTTTTATTGGACATATAAGATGCTTGGTGGAGGAAATACTGGAAGATGAATGTATTGGGAGTACAGCTTAGTTGTTGAGAGGATATAATTGTCTCAAACTAATAATAATAATGGAGGATTACAAGCATGTTTGGTATGTGTATTCTTTTTTACTTTTTCCTGGTAAATGGTTCATTCAAAAATTTTGCACTAGTGCAAGAATCTGGACATGTTTATTCTTTTATTTCTGATGCTAACTTCATGATTTGATTTGTGGTGAGAAACACTTCCAGGTTACATGTTCAAACCATTATATTGGAAAATTAGGAATTAACTATTTCCACTGAGCATGCGAAGATCTATGTGTGATATCTAAGATTCTAACTGACAATTCCTGTACTGAGATAAAGATGAATGATACAAATATAGATGCTGTTGGCAAAATCACAAGTTAACTCAGTTCGCAACAGGAAAACAAACATAGAGAATTGTGATGCAGGCTATAGGGCAACGTGTTTCATATTCGTTGGTATGGTTTGCTAAAATACTAGGCTCTTCATATGTCGAAGTAAGCTAGCTATAGTGAGTTAATGTTTCACGTCTTAGCCCTAATATAGCTGAGACAGTTCTCTTGTCTGTGGAAATGTCAAAGGGTTCTTTCCTTTGATCTCTATGGTCACTGGTTCAATGCATATATTATTGTAATGTAAATAACAAAGGAAGCACATAAATCCAAAACAGAAGAAAGAGGAATTATGCTGTTTCATGCGTAGTTCTTGATAAATGACAGGTGCAGTTCAGTTTAGTTCACTTGTTTAATTTTATCATAGGAAATTTGATGGCATATTTCTTGTTTGCTTTTCATTTGCATTTTTGTGCTTTAGACTTTGTATTGTCTTCATTTCTCACTGTTGTGAGATTGAGCTGACTCATCTGCAATGAAAAAGTTAGGATGTAGTTTATCTGTTTCCTGTCATTTTGATGAGATTTATAATAATGAATATCACTTTTCTTACTCATGAATTTTAAGTTCGTTCTCACTTGGTTAATATCTGCTCCAGTAGCAACTGATATTTGTAAAGAAGCTAAATTATAGAGAATTGCTGACAAACTTGATCATCAAAACACATTGATGAAGTAGTTGTGTAAATCATAGTTCACAATCTGTCTAAAACAATCTGTAAAAATGTGTTGGAATCACCAAAAATAACCTGAGTTACCTTGACTTGTGCAACTATGCCTCTTAGCAGTAGACTTGGTTACTTTTCAAATGTAGAAATGTGGCAACACAAACGTATATCCAATATTTGTCATGAGCCAATTTGATGCTCCTAACACTGCACGGATATTATTCTAAAAGTGCACAAGGATTGTTAACATAGTACAATTTCTATAATTCAAAAAATCTTAAAATTATCTATCTCTAATAATTCTTTTGGCGAATGCAGTAAAGTATCTACAGGAGCATACAGTAAAACCTCTATAAAATAATAATGTTGGGACCGAGAAAAACTATTATTTTAGAGAGTTTATTAATTTGTTGATAAATGAATAGTTTATTAATTTATCGATAAATTATATTTTTAGTGTATTTTATATTTTTACAACTTGTATTTTATATAACCATAATACATGTAGGATTTTTATTTTTATTTATTTTTTTACATATTGAATGTGATGAAATTCAAAATTTAATCTGTAAGCGCGCACGCGCACACACACACAAAAAAAAAGACACACACATACATTAAAGAGGAAATATTAATGTATATCCTAAGAAAAGCAAAAGACTTTAGATGCAAATTAAAAATTTGTTAATTTGTATTAGCATGAAATTTTATGAATTTAAACAGTTATTATTTAATATATCCATTGGGCCTTAAAGGATTTCAAAAAAAATTAATATCTTATGCATTTAGCGGGTTATTAATTTGGTACACTAGCCTAAGTTGGGACCGAAGAATTTTATTACTTAAGCAAGATTATTAATTTATCCAACATTCATTTATCGAGATTTTACCGTATATTGCAGGATGATGCGTGTTTGTGATGAACCCTTGTAAGTAAGAACTAAAGTTAATTGAGATAATTACTCATATGGACCAATTTTGATATCATTGGAGGACATTGAGAATTAATGTACTAACTTCAGGTTAAATCAGACATATATAGAATTACCATGTGGGCTTATGACAACAGTTTAGTTATAGAGAGGGAAATAATGTGTATCCTTCCTCTACGTTGAAAGTCTTTGAACATTAATAGAATAATGGACAAATGAACTGATGAAATCTAGCCTTGAAAAATGCAACAATCGGAATTATAATTCATGATGTTTTAAAAGGAATATACATGAATAGATATCGAGGCCAATTCTATTTTTATTTTAACTTCCTTTTTGTTGATTTGTGTGTATTTTGTTGGAACTTGGAAGTTTCCTTTTCAAGAAGCTTCATTTCCATCTGTAAAAATTTACAAAAGTATTATCTAAGAGCACTTTTAATATGAGCTCTAAGACAGTTGATGTAAATTAAGGCTAAAATCATTAAAACAAATATGTTAATGAAAGGTTTAAAGGCTACCTTATGTTATTTTTATTCTTTTTTCTGGATTATGTAATTTCTGCCATCCTTCTTGCCATTTTTTCACTTTCCCTGCTTTTTTATGGCTTCTATCTTCAATATGACAATGTGCATATAGCTCTTGTGATTTTTCTGAATACAAGTTCTTGGGTATATTCCATTTTGTTCGTTTCAGGACATGAAGTGAGTTGTAGTGCAAGTTGCTCAGTATGTTCGAACTTGATACATCTTTCAATCTGGACCTCCTGAACAACTTTTGAGTTTCTCTTTTCGATTCTTCTACATTGAATAAATACACGTCTCTTGTTCTTAATTTTATTTTATGTATTAAATTCTCACCAATTTGATAATTTTGTTATAATTTCTTTGGAATGTTCATACCTAATATTTTTCATGGCAACCTACTTTTACCATCATGTTGTGTGTGTTTGCGTTCTATATAAAAGGTTATCTGTTTATGGGTTTGTTTATTAAAGCATTTTTCTGCACATAAAAGTATTTGAACTCGTTCCTTTCTTTATCAGAAAAACCTATGGAATGCATGGTTAACAATCTCTGATCTGCGTGATACTGTCACCAAAAAAAGACACAGATTGCAATTGCTGAGGCAAAAGTTAAAACTAGCCTCCATTCTCAAGGGTCAAGTAAGCTCTATTCCTGGTTTCTACTTTATATTGCAGGATTCTGTTGGAGCATTTAGCCGGAAAATTGTTGTATAACACGGGAATCCTGTGACCCATAGATATGACTATAGAAATCTCATTTTTAAGATGTGAATAGTTTAACGTCAGTATAAAGTTGGACTGCAATTGCAGTTAGAAATTTTGGCTTCCATTACTGAAAACAAAAAGTTTAAAAACGGAAATTTTTTTACCAGCTGGCTTTACTGGCTTGTCGTAACTGATAGTTACAGCTATTATTTTATACGATAAGGAAAACGTCATCAGATCTATATTTTCATTAAGTTCTTATATTGCTTAAATTATGTATATTATAGTAAAAAATGCTTATAGTGATCTTTCCGGTTAAGGTTGTAAAATTTATCTGGTAGTCATGTTGATTGGTGTTATTGACTTGCTACTTGTTATATGAAGAGGACAATGGCACAAAGTGGCAAAAAAAGCTTTTTTTTTTTATGTATAAAATTTGTTCCTCTCATACCCCAAAAGAAGTGATCGAGGCCTACGATCCATTTACTGGAAATTTCATAATGGAAATTAACTACATAAGTGTCTTAACAGAAGCTATAGAAATTAGTATTGCATGCACATAAAACTTAATTTGCCCAAGGCGCTTGCTTCCCAAACTGTTCAAATTTCAGCTTGGGTGTCGAAGTAACTATTCTTCAGTTCCTTTGCAATGTCCAAGCCATTTTGAACCTTGAAATTTTATCATCTCGGGGTCAGCTGAAATTTAAGGACTTTTTCCATTTTTCATTAAGTAAGGACAGTTTAGGTATTACGCATTTTGTTTTTTGAAAAATGCCTAAAAATGTAAAAGGAAGAATTGTGTGAAGAACAAACCTCAAGGGTGTCTTTTATTTTTTAAAAGAGAGGGATTGTTTATGTTAGTTATCTCATGGGCTCTCTATAATCGTCTCTTCCAGTTCTTCCCACAAACACAAAGTTTATGGCTGACCGATATTGCTCATCATCTAGCTATTGCGTTTATTTTTCTTGTTGCTGGTCATGTATCGAACGAATTACGGGATTGGACACAGTATCAAAGATCCTTTAGAGCACATATTCCTTCGAGAGGATGATTGGAACGAGGGCGTAAGGGTCTTTGTGATACAATCAATAATTCGCTTCATTTTCAATTAGCCCTTGCTCTAGCTTCTTTAGGGGTCGAATTGTATTCAGTAGAATATGGAGGTACTTATGGCAGAACGGGCCAATCTATGGATGTGGGAGCATCATCTCCGTTCCCGTGGGCTTTTGAGGAGCGGGAGAAATTGTTGGAATTCTATGAAAGAGTCTCGGGAGCCAGGATGCATGCCAGTTTTATCTACTTTGAGAGCGCTAGGAAAAAGAACTGATCTTGAAATATTGATATTTTTTAGCTTTTTACTTTTATTTGAATCTATACCTTTAGATCAATAATTTTGGCAACTTGTTGATAATGGGATTCAATTTGAGATCATTTTAGAGTTTTTATAGATGGAGATACTTATATTTTTGCATACGGTTGAGTGCCAGTGAGTTGTAGCCACCATTCTTTAAGCCTGTATAGTTCGTATATGGAATCCTTGCATTAGTTGTGGGTTAATAGTATTGTAACTTAATTTCTTTTATTGTAACGTTTATGTTTTATTTATCTGATTTCCAACTAATTTCTCTTCTGTGGAACCTACATTATCTCAGAATTTGTTTGAATTATCTCTTCCCTCTCTTTGTTGGTGGAATTGTGCCTGTAGACCGATCTCAAGTCTGTTCATATTTCTGATGTAGATGTCCTTGGAAGATTGGGCTTCTTTGGATAAAGACCACTCAATATCTTTGCTTGGAGCTATTGAAGCTTTGAAGGCTAGCACTCTTCGTCTTCCGGTTGTTGGAGGAGCAATTGTATGTGGCCTTTGGTGTTCCGTCTCGGAACCTTGTGGGGTTAGGAGTAAAGCATCCCGAGGTTGGCGCATCTCGTTGAGCGTGGAGAAGCATTGGGAACCCCAATTTCTTTCTTCGGAGCCGTTTCTTTTCCCGTCCCCCCGCCCCGGCATAGCGCTTCGCTTCCGGTTCTTCGGAAGAATCAACTTACGTCTCCCTTCTTCATTGATCTGGGGGAAAAGGAAAGGTCTACCAGTTGGGAAGCTAGACATCAAGTAAGTGGCTTGATGAGGATAACTAAGCTGACACGCCGGAGTTGGCTGCTGGCACAAGAGGGTGGTGCCTTACCGCACCGCAGGCGGACGCGCGGTAGCGTTCGTGGTGGTGCTTCAGGATTCCAATGTACTGCGTCCAAGATCAGAACGAGCTTGCCGGCGGACCACTGCCGTCCCATTCTTGAGTGAGCTGGAGCGCAGCCATCTTATCCACTGAACTAGCTAGAAGCTATCGCTTCGGGTCGAAGCATTAAAAGAAAAGGACCGGGAAACGCGGCGGCATAGGAACCACGGGACCCCCTATTAGTAAAGGGAAAACGGAAGTGCGCTCCTGCGCACCAGCTGAAAAAGCCCTTTCCCTTTTTAATAATAATAAATAAGGTAAGCTTCATAGCTCCAACCTAGTAAAGGGGCTTTGATGCCCTTTGTATAGGTTGGGTTGCTGGATACGGGATCCTCGTAGTAGGCTGGACCAACATCCACCCGAGAGAGGGCAGTCTTTAGAAACAACAGGGTGTACGTATCCCAGGTGAGCCAAGAGGTTCAGAGTGGGAGTAGATCAGAGAACGCTTCGCCTTTTCTTATCTTCTTCCCGCCCTAGGAGTAGGAGTAGCACAAAAAGAGGGATTAGCATTATTGACCCAATGATAAACCACTAAGACCTTCCTCGTTGGGGCTCCGCGCACTGAGAAAACGCTCTAGCGACGAGAAAGCGGCCACTAGTTACAAAGCTCCAATAAAGGAGAGGGCTAGTCAGGTGCAAAGCAATTACCCCTATTTAGGGAGTTGAGGCGAAAAATGGCTTGATGAACCGTTCCGTTCGCCACGCACCGGCCCCATTCACTTGCTTATCGTAGAGGCTATAAGTATACAGTGCCCCACAACTATGAATAGTATAGTGGGTTGAAAGACAAGAGTGCCCTTCAACTTCAAGTAGGCTACTTTTTCCGGAACGCAGTCCGAGATAACCGTAACCGTATATATATATAAGTATATCTTCGATGCTGTCATTTCGAAATGTCCGCTTCAACCGCCCTTTCACATCCCAAAAAGAAAAGTTGGCTTGATGAGCGCAGATGAGGAGCAAGAAAACCAATAATATCTTTATTGTCCTTCTACTTAAAGGGAAAAGAGAAGCGCTTTTGCTACTGAGAAAGCGAACGGTCAACGCGAAGGTTCAAGACTTAGCCGAGCGTTAGCGAAGCTAGATTCTCATAGGCGAGGCGCTTCGAGTTAGCGAAGCGCTGTAGTAGCGCCGAAGCCCTATGTGCTATAATGCTGAACCAAGGACGCTCCGCCTTATCTATAGAAGGAGTCAACTGAGTTCTGAACGAATTAGCTCCTTGGTAATGGCTCAATCTATAGATAGAAAGCCCTATGATGGGAAACTACCACGTTAGGTTTGGAGAGAGATGGGACCGGTTATATAATAGAGGGAGCAGATGCAAGCTTTTTCTTTCAATAGCCGGCCAAATGACTACAGGATCATCGGTCTACTCTACCTCAATTCACCATTTCGAACCTTATACAGAAGGTTTTTCCGTACCAGCTTCTTCTACCTATACCGCAGTTGAAGCACCTAAAGGAGAATTTGGTGTCTTTCTGGTCAGTAATGGAAGCAATCGTCCCTACCGTCGTAAAATAAGAGCACCTGGCTTTGCCCATTCACAAGGACTCGATTCTATGTCCAAACATCACATGCCAGCAGATGTGGTCACCATCATTGGTACTCAAGATATTGTGTTTGGAGAGGTGGATAGATAGGACTACTAGTTGCTCGATCAGGACCCTAGCTTTATTGCGAGCCAAAAACAAAGATGGATTCCCCTCCCCCTTCTATCTTCAGTACTAGAGATGAACGAATTGCATACGCCCGAAATTTAGATCGAAGAATTGTTGGGGTCTTGGAATTTCATGAACGCGGAGCCAACGAGTTCAGTCGAACAGCGTATATAGTAAATAGAAGCGGAAGAGCCTTTCCTTTCGTTTTAAACAACTCTAAATGAAAGGAGCCACCACAGATGTATGCACAATGATTGGATTTTGGTGCATACACATACAGCAGCGAATCGAAGTGCGTAAGCCCCTTTAGAGTAGAGATAGAGGCGGTCCATTGAAGAAAATCAAAGCAAAATGCAGCTGAAAGCAAGGGCGGTCGTAGATCAGCTGAAGGTGCCAGGTTCCTGCAGGAGAGGACTCTAACTCATGCCAATGGAAGCAGAAAAAAGGGATGAACATGCCCATCTGCCTTTCTGACCTGCAGACTTGGTAAGATTGGATGTTAAAATGGACTAAGGCTTCATCCACTTATTATTATTATTTCTCTCCATCCGTCTTATTTCACTCACTGATTTCTGACGGTTGCTTATCATATTCAGGTACTTATGATCTTGTAGGTTAGGATTTTAGGAAAAGAGTGGAATCGCTTTTCTTTGATACTATTTTATTGTTGCGGCTTCTGCTTGTTCATGCTAAACTTTTATAACACTCTTACTAGCCCAATGGGCAAAGCCTATTTTTATGAGTTCTTGTCTTTCTCTCACCAACCCTTGGTCGCCAATCTTGTCATTTCCTATGACAAAGCAGTATGGTACATGGAATGTCCCCTATCTCACCTTTTAGGTGCTAAAAAACTATAAGCTTTGCAAAGAAACAAATATCCACAGGAAGTAAGAACGATAAAGTTATCAACTTTTAAAAAAAGTTCTGTCAAAAGCCACGCGAATCAACACTTTTCTTCGCGTTACCGCGGCCTCTTTGAATCACACCTAAAGGCGAATGGGCGAGCGAATCCGCTTTGTGATCGACTCTTTGGATCGCGTTAATGCGAATCGGTGAGAAGTCGACTCGGCGATTTGACGACCCCAAAAGAGATGTTCTTTACAAATGGACCCCACGTACTTCGACTTTGCTTAGGCGGGCGAACCCCGGCGAACGAATCAGCTAATGGGCGGATCGAAGACTGAGGCAGCAACCATGCTGATCCGACCTGAAGACGTCGCGGCTGTGTCGACTTCGTCACTGGTGATTGCTCTCCTTTATCTGGTGACTCCTGAATCCTGAATCACCTATTGGCTAGTCGACAACAACGACTATACAAGACCCAGAAGTCAGATCCGCCGAACTTAAGTTGCAACTCCACTTCACTTAAGGCAGGATCCCGCTTTGAGAAATCCTCTGCCTCTATCGGTCAAGCAAGATTTAGCAAAAATATATTGTTCTGAAGACTTAGCCACCATACTCTGGTGTTTCAACCAACCGTCGGTGATTTATGAAAAAAAAAATGGCAAACCGGCGCATACAGAATCAAATTCTTTTTTTTTAGACGGGGATTTCAGAATCAGTTAAGGGAGGGCGACTCGAATCAAGTGGCACCACTATCTGTCCAACCAGGATCAAACCGCTGCGGAAATCTGCACTCCCTGGATCAAGCACATCAGGTACTGAACAGCTACCCTGCTGTCCCTGTGAAGAAACGGAAGACCCAACCTCAGCGAAGAATGCGTAATCGTGTGTACCGAAGTCAAACACCGCATCGCGGGCTCTCTTCACTTCCGCAAACTGAATATGCTCGTGTCGCGCCTCCCCTGTCTACCTCTCCTCATTATCTTCCTTAACAAAAAGCATTTTTGCTGTGCACTCTATCACGTAGTGCCCCATCTGCCCGCACCTAAGACACCCCATTATTGTTCTTGGAAGAGCTCCCTGATGCTGCTTTTGCCTTCCCCTTAAATGAAATTTGGACGTAGAAGTGAACAAAAGTATATCCCTAGGATGTACACTTTGTCCAGAGAGGCTCAGCCTCTTCCTCCTCCTATACGTAAACGTCTTATCATGCACCTTTGCATTAAGAAAATTAAGGAAGGGTTATGTTGATGCAGTAGCAAAGACTCCTTATCCCATCATATTTCGAAAATTATACCCTTCATGATCTGACTAAGATTATCGGCATCATAGTTTTTCATACCAAAAGCCTCCAGCTGATCACAAAGGTTCTTCACCTTAATATAGTAACAAGAATTAAACTACCCCGCTTCAGGCTATGTTGTTCAGTCTCCAGGCACTGACGCTTACTTGCGGTCGCATGTTCATTAACTTCCCTCAAAGTAAGCCATGCCTTTCTTGGGTCTGTAATGCCCCCATATATGGAGGCGCATCTTATCAGCTACAGACACTGTGATCGCATGCATAGCCCCACCAGACCAAAACAAGATGAAAATGGCTTCTTACTCGCCACATCCTCCGGTTTACCTTCAGCAATTATCCAACATTCCTGGCCCATCAAGAAGAACTTTACCTCTTCACTCCAATTTACATAATTTTCGCCATGTTGGAGTGAATGGCACACAATCGACAAGCCAGACATTATTTCCCAATGCAAAAAAAAGGAAGACTTTTTAAGTATAACCTGATCCCAATATGTATGATAGAATCAAAGTGATTCTTACTTCAATTCAAGCATTGGATCTCCTGTCTCATCTCAATTAAGAGGGGTCATGGAAAGAACAGGTTCAAAATCACGATCAATTCCTTTTGAAAATCCTGCTGCAGCTGCACGAGCCCTTCCCGCGTGCCACAAATGACCTACGAAGAAAAAGAATCCTAGAACAAAATGAGAGGTAGCTAACCAACTTCTAGGAGAGACATAATTGACTGCATTAATCTCGGTAGCTACGCCACCCACAGAATTTAAAGAACCTAAAGGAGCATGAGTCATATATTCTGCGGAACGCCGTTCTTGCCAAGGTTGTATGTCTTTTTTCAACCTACTCAAGTCCAATCCATTTGGACCTCTTAGAGGTGGGAGCACGCAGATCCCAAAAACGCATAGTTTCTCCTCCAAAAATGACTTCTCCGGTCGGGGAACGCATTAGATCCTAAACCAGTAGGTCCGTAAAACTCGCTAGGATAAGCGGTATTATTGAACCAGACAAAACAACAAGCAATGAAACCAAAGATGGATAAAGCCCCTAAACTATAAGTAAGCCTCCCCAGACCATACAAGAGCGCGTCGAGCCCATGCGAAGGGTTTGGTTAAGATATGCCAGATTCCACCAAGTATACAAATGGAACCTAACCATACATGTCCTCCGATTATATCTTATAAATCGTCCACACTAAGAATCCATCCTCTGTGGTTGGTTGGGTTGGGAGTTGGTTCCCAAGTATTACACAAGAGCAGCTCTGTGGCTCCCTTTTTCCGCCAATTCTTTTCGAATATATGCTCACAATCATTATTTCTTGCTCTTATTTTTTTATTAGGGAATAAAATTATTTCTTCTCAAATTTTAACAAAGAACGACCCAAGAGAGTAGAGACCACAATAAAGACATCAATATTTTATAGAAGAAAAAGAATGGAATGGACGAATAATAAAGCACATGTAAGTCATGCACCATGCCAATAATGATGCTGCAATAGAAGTCGCCCTGTTTGGCTCCCATTTTTTTTTAAATTTTAATGGTTGGAATAATATTTTTTTGAAAAATGTATGATTGACAAGGAATGAAAAGTTTTTGTTTTGTGTGTAATATTATTTTATGAAAGATTATGTGATTGAAAATAAGAAAGAGAAAAAAATGAGAATGAGAATGGAAGTCAAACGAGACGAAGAAAATGAAAAACGAAATTTCATAATAATTTCATTAAGATAAAGTTGCTTGTTACTCAGACGACCCCAAATATAGTATGAGTAAAAATAGCATTTGTTGCATTTTTCAATTTGCTATCTGTGCCTATTAATGATATTTTATCAATTTCACCTTTCAACGTGTAAAGGTCTTCCAGGTAAGATTCCATCTCCCAGTGGTTTGTGATAGATACATAAGAGTCATCTTTCACTACATGATTAAAAGTAAGGATTTTATAAATTATATGCTTAAAATTAATTATTAAATTTGTCTTAGATTTTTATCAAAATTCCAAGCTACATCAAACATGGTCTTATTATTCCTATGTAGGGTCGGTCCTGTGATCATTGGAGCCCGAGGCGAAGTCCATAAATTGGGCTCTCGACGAAATTAATGTAAATGCAAAATTCAACGGTATATCTTGTATCATATTGCTAACTTAAAATTTAATATTAAAACAACGAGCAAATATATTATTTCAACGGTATATTATGCAACCTAATGCCCAATGATTAACCTAAAAGACAATTACAAAATATCTCAATTATCTCACAATTATAGTTTTAAATATAGTTACTACGTACGCCTATGCAATTGTTGATCATATAATAACCAATCATATAAGCCGACTAGGCCACCATTATACAAGCCGACCAGACTTCAAACATTTCCAACATATTCAATAACAAGTTAGGATAAGCCATTGTCGAATTGAGAAGTAAAATTTCGATGAAAATTATGGAATCACACACTTGAGAATTCCACCGTCACAATCTATAAGCTTGAAGTAAAAATTTCATCATTACGCAATGCCCTATTGTTGCCTTATGCCAATCAGGAACGATAAATAGTAAATAGATACCAAACGTGATGCAGGTTCAAGTAGGACACACATTCTTGGATCAAGACATGTTGAACAAATTCCCATTTTCCATTTTGCACATCCAATAACATTTTCGATTATTTACGCAAAAATTTGAGCAATACAAATTTACAGAAACAATTCAAAATTAAAATGACATACAGACTTTAGAGTTGTCCCAAAAAATTTGTGACCTTGTCTTAATGAAATTAAAATGGATCCTCGGTTGCACTGTCACGAGCATGAGGAAAAACAAATGAAAAAACCAATTT